AAAGAATCACAGCTTCTTCACATGTACAGCGGTTGAAACATCTGTATCCTAAATGGAAACTAATAATACAATGTTTCAACCGCCTCTAAAACATGTGTTCCTTCTGTCAGAGAACTGTCAGAAATAGCGGAGCTCACTGCAGGGACACTTTTGCCGGCTGATCGGGAAATGTTCGATTCGCGCCCCGAAGTAGGCAAAATTTCGGTTTCGACGCGAATCGAATATTTCCTGAAATTCGACTCGAATTCCGGTTCGCCTGGTTCGATTCGCTCATCTCTATCTACAATGTTTCTTTCATCTTTACCAGCTCCGCATCTTAACCTCCCCAAATGTGAGGATTGGATTGTACAACTCTCTATATTCTCCTCAACCTATAGGTTGCTTTTTTTTTTTTTTCACTTTCTGCCCCAGGATGCTACATTTGTTTTGTGTGGATTTGTTAAGTTACTAATTTTGTTTTGTTGCATTTGTAACAAATATTGTTTCAATTTGATTTGTTGATTTGTTTTCAACCGAATTCAATTCCTCTCCTTTCGTTTCCTCTCTCCTTTCCTTCCCTCTTCTCTCCTTTCTTTTTTCTCTCCTTTCCCCCTCTTCTTTTCCTTTTCCTCTCCTTTCCTTTCCTTTCCCTCTCCTTTCCTTTCCCTCTCCTTTCCTTTCCTTTCCTTTCCTTTTCCTCTCCTTTCCTTTTCCTTTCCTTTCCTCTTCCTCTCCTTTCCTTTCTTTTCCCTCTCCTTTCCTTTCCTTTCCTTTCCTTTCCTTTTCCTCTCCTTTCCTTTCTGTTCCATTCCTTTTCTTTTCCTCTCCTTTCCTTGCCCTCTCCTTTCCCTTTCATTTCCTTTCTTTCCCTTTCCTTTCCTTTTCATTTTCCTCTCCTTTCCTTTCCCTTTCCTTTTCCTTTCCTTTCCTTTTCCTCTCCCTTCCTTTCCCTCTCCTTTCATTTACTTTCCCTCTCCTTTCATTTACTTTTCCTCTCCTTTCTTTTTCCCCTCCTTTCCTTTTTCTCTCCTTTCCTTTTCCTCTCCTCTCCTTTCCTAAAAGAATAGAATAGAAAATAAAATAAAGGAAATGATAGAAAAGAATAGAATAGTATAGCAGAAAAATATTGCCATCTTTTGAAATTTTATTTTGAATAGAATAGAAGAAAATAGAATATAGCTGTCTTCTGAAACGAAATTCACATTTCAAAAAGAATAGAATAGAAAAGAATAGATTAAAACATAATAATATAGAAACAAATAGAATAGAATACAAAATAAAAGAATAAATATAGCCATCTTCCAAAAATTCTAATTTTTGTTTTTGATTCAAATTAATTTCCAGTTCATTTCAAATTTGACTCAATTCGAATCCATTGTAAAGTAATTGAATCTAGTCAAAAACAAAATTAAATCAAATGCAACAAAACAAATTTAGTAACCTAAAAATAGAATTTGAAACTAAACGAACGTTTTTTGTTCTGCACGTCTAATCTGACAGTTCTAATGACATATACACACCTTGCTGCTGCATTTATTTACTTCCAGATAAAATAGCAATAACTTACTTTCATTAAAATAGATCCTTAAACAGTATGATAAATATGAGATTATGAATGCAACAGCTGAAGCTTCAGAAATACCTATCGCTGGATTCCGTCCTATAAAAGAAAAACACAACAGATATTATCTCAGTCCTGCATGTCTGGAGAACCCAACACTTCTATATATACTGACTGTACATTTATCATTGCAGGTGAAGCATTTATATTACTGGATTAGAATAGGTAGAATAGGACGCTACTAGTGTTCAAGGTATCCGCTCACTAAACATACACTATACTGCCTGAAGTATTGGCCCCACCCTTCCAATCATGTGATTCGGGTGCTCCAATCCCCTCCATATCATGTGATTCAGGTGTTCCAATCCCGTCCATATCATGTGATTCAGGTGTTCCAATCCCCTCCATGGACACAGGTGTATACAATCAAGCCCCTAGGCATGCAGACGGCTTCTACAAACATTGGTGAAAGAATGGGTCGCTCTCAGGAGCTCAGTGACTCAAGCGTGGTCCCGTGATAGGTGGCCACCTGGGCAATAAGTCCATCCGTGACATTTCCTGGCTACTAAATATTCCACGCTCAACTGTTAGTGGGATTATAACAAAGTGGAATATATATACTGACTGTACATTTATCATTGCAGGTGAAGCATTTATATTACTGGATTAGAATAGGTAGAATAGGATGCTACTAGTGTTCAAGGTATCCACTCACTAAATATACACTATACTGCCTGAAGTATTGGGCCCACCCTTCCAATCATGTGATTCAGGTGTTCCAATCCCCTCCCAATCATGTGATTCAGGTGTTCCAATCCCCTCCTAATCAGGTGTTCCAATCCCCTCCATATCATGTGATTCAGGTGTTCCAATCCCCTCCATATTATGTGATTCAGGTGTTCCAATCCCCTCCATATCATGTGATTCAGGTGTTCCAATCCCCTCCCAATCAGGTGTTCCAATCCCCTCCACATCATGTGATTCAGGTGTTCCAATCCCCTCCATGGACACAGGTGTATACAATCAAGCCCCTAGGCATGCAGACTGTTTCTACAAACATTGGTGAAAGAATGGGTCGCTCTCAGGAGCTCAGTGACTCCAAGCGTGGTCCCGTGATAGGTGGCCACTGTGCAATAAGTCCATCCGTGACATTTCCTGGCTACTGAATATTCCACGCTCAAGTGTTAGTGGGATTATAACAAAGTGGAAGCCACTGGGAACAACAGCCACTCAGCCACCAAGTGGTAGGCCATGTCACATGACAGAGCGGGGTCAGCGCATGCTGAAGCGCACAGTGCGCAGAAGTCGCCAAGTGTCTGCAGAGTCAATAGCTAAAGACCTCCAAACTTGGTGTGGCCTTCAGATGAGACCAACAACAGTGCGTAGAGAGCTTCATGGAATGGGTTACGCTAACTTTCTCTAAAGTAACTCCAATATGATACTCCGAATGGTACGGATCCTCCAACCACTACTGTGTAGCCAGCTGTATCACACTCTCCTGTCCTACGAGGGAAGTGGAAGAGGAACGAGGAGGATTCTGCTATCAGGGGAAGAATCCCTAAGTACAGCTGTATTGGGAGGCCCATGGACAACAGAGAAAGTTAGCGTAGGAGTGGAGCTTTGATGTCACAACGTTCGTAAGACAGCTGGCTACACACAAGCGGTTGGAGGATCCGTGTTAGAAGTATCATATTGGAGTTACTTTACAAGATGCACTTTAACACAAGACACATGTGATGGGAATACTGGATATTGTTTTATCCATAAATGTTGTGTAAGGATAAAGCTCTATGTTTTGATCATGTCTTTTCAGTGCATATTTGATGGAGAGCTAAGACAGTGGAGGAGATTCCTGCCCATTGGACAAAAGACATCAGTCCATAGAAGGGGCACATGCCATTTATGACCTCCCCTAGCGGTTTGGTCATATACATCAGGTGAAGGTGTACAGACACGCTTATGGTTTGCAGTGTATAGAAGCACGGGGTGTTCCAAGAAGTAATTTGGAATTTAAGCATCTGAGAAGATATACTATATTGCCCCAAGTATTGGTCGGCTGGCCTTTCCACGCACATGAACTTTAATGACCCCCCAGTCTTAGTCTGTAGGGTTCAATATTGAGTTGGCCCCGCCCTTTGCAGCTATAACAGCTTCAACTCTTCTGGGAAGGCCGTCCACAAGGTTTAGGAGGGTGTCTATGGGAAGGTTGGACCATTCTTCCAGAAGCACATTTGTCAGGTCAGGCACTGATGTCGGGGGAGGAGGCCTGGCTCGCAGTCTCCACTCTAATTCATCCCAAAGGTGTTCTATGGGGTTGAGGTCAGGACTCTGTGCAGGACAGTCAAGTTCCTCCACCCCAAACTGGCTCCTCCATGTCTTTATGAATCAGTGGGTGGCGTGCTTTAAACCACTGCATCCAACAGAAAGAATAGACTAAAACAGAATAGAATAGAAAATAAAGGAAGAGTATAGACTAGAATAGAGTATAAAAGAATAAAAAAATTGAATAGAAAATAATATTTATTTCAGGTACTTATATAGCACCATCAATTTACACAGCGCTTTACATATATATATGGTACATTCACATCAGTCCCTAACCCTCAAGGGGCGTACAATCTAAGGTCCCTAACTCACATTCATACATACACATACTAGGTACAATTTAGACAGGAGCCATTTAACCTACCAGCATGTTTTTGGAGTGTGGGAGGAAACCCACGTAGGCACAGGGAGAACATGCAAACTCTAGGCAGGTGGTGCTGTGGTTGGGATTTGAACCAGCGACCCGAGTACTGCCAGGCAGAAGTGCTAACCACTTAGCCACTGTGCCGCCCATATAGCCATCTTCTGAAATTCAAATTTGAAAGAATAGAATAGAAAAGAAGATGATATAGAATAGAATAGAATAGAATAGAATATAGCTGCCTTCCAAATTTCATAAAGAATATAATAGCATAAAATAGATTATAAAATATTAGAAAAAAAAAAAGAAAATAAAAGAATAGAATACAAAAATAAAATAAAATAAAATAAAATACAGTAGAATAGAAAAAATATAGCAATCTTCTGAAATTTGAATTGTGAATAGAATAGAATAAAATCAGCTATTCTTCACAATGAATTTGGATCGATTAAATATTTTCAATTACAAATTTGATTCCAATTTGAATTCAGTTCGAATCCATTGGAAAAACTTGAATCTGGTCGAAAGCGAATATACTAAACAAATTTCATTATTAATGCGACAAAATGAAATTAGTAACTTAACGAGTTGATCCGAAATGAAACAAAACTAATGATTTTGTTCTGCACATGTTTAGACTTCAATGGGAATATATTTTTTTTTAAACATAAATAACCTTCTCCTCCTCCTAGTAACTAGCTTTCCATTGGCTGAAATAAAATTGCCCAAGCCTGAATACTTCTGAAAAAAAAAAATGCAGAAAAAAAACATTCCAAAATCACCTGTAAACACTTTTCCTGGGGTGTGAATGCAGCCCAAGTATTTGGTGTTTTGGAAACATCACGCTGAGAAATCTCTGGATCTAATCTGAAAGATCTGGGATTTGTGGAAGGCAGTCGGAGCCGAATTCTGCTGATATCCTATTCTAAGGCTACTTACTTGGCATGGTAAAGCTGAGAGTCATTTCCTCCTCCAGGGATCTGTGGCTGACAATACAGAATAATACATCTCCGGGTTCAGCGTCGGTAGACGACCTCACAATCTGCACACTGGTCACATTAAATGTCCCATCGCTGTTCCCCAAAGGTGTTGTGAAAGAAACGTCCTTGTCCCAAGGTGAGTTCCTGCTGTTACTTTTACTGGATTTAACCCATCGGATCTTCACAGCTTCTGGGTAAAAAGTGTTGACTTCACAACGGACAGATCCCGTGATTCCAACTTCAATTTGTTGATCATGGCTCAGCGCCGTCTGCGGCTTAACTGTACAAGGAAAGACAGTTATTCATTATTTCTATATTAAAGGCTAATTTCACTTAAAGTGTTACTGAACCCCCAACAGTACAATCAGTCTGTAGATGCAGTAAAGCGTGCTTGTTATACTCACTGTGGAACCTAAGGGGTTAATCCTCTGCATTGTGTAAAAATGCTGTTAGATCCTGAATTCCCCTGATAAGACAGATCATGTGGAGATACTTTGCATATGCTCAGTTTGGTGTGTATTGCTAAAGAAGTTTTTTTTTTTCCGGGATGGTGCAAGTGATCAGCAAAGGGGCAATCAGCACTGTCCAGACAGAGGTTATTATTATTATTATTATACAGGATTTATATAGCGCCAACTATTTGCTCAGCGCTTTACACTACAGTGGGAGAAAATACAGCAACAATGCAGTTCAATACAAGAGAGATAAGAGGGCCCTGATCCTGGGAGCTTACAATCTAGGAGGGAGGGGCTAGTGGTACAAAAGGTAATAACTGTGGGGGATGGACTGGTAGGAAGAGTAGAAGATTCCATTGTTAGCTGAGGGCAGGATAGGCTTCCCTGAAGAGATCGGTTTTCAGAGATCGCCTAAAAGTGAGCAGAGTAGGCGATAGTCTGATAAATTGGGGTAGAGAGTTCCAGAGTATGGGGGAAGCTCTGGAGAAGTCCTGGAGATGAGCATGGGAGGAGGAGACAAGGGAGCAAGAGAGTAGGAGGTCTTGCGAGAAGCGGAGAGTACAGTTTGGGTGATATTTGGAGACAAGATCGGTGATGTAATTTGGGGCAGCGTTATAAATGGGCTTTATATGTTATTGTTAATGTTTTGAATTTTAACCGTTGGGCAACGGGAAGTCAGTGGAGGGATTGGCAGAGAGGGATGGAGGACACTGAGTGGAGGCCAGTGGAGGGATTGTCAGAGAGGGATGGAGGACACTGAGTGTAGGTCAGTGGAAGGATTGGCAGAGAGGGGGTGGAGGACACTGAGTGGAGGTCAGTGCAGGGATTGGCAGAGAGGGGTGGAGGACACTGAATGGAGGTCAGTGCAGGGATTGGAAGAGAGGGGTGGAGGACACTGAATGGAGACCAGTGGAGGGATTGGCAGAGAGGGGTGGGGGACACTGAATGGAGGTCAGTGGAGGGATTGGCAGAGAGGGATGGAGGACACTGAATGGAGACCAGTGGAGGGATTGGCAGAGAGGGGTGGCAGATACAGAACGGTTAGTAAGGTGGATGAGTCTGGCAGCAGCATTCATAATAGACTGAAGAGGGGATAGCCTGCGATGAGGTTAGCCAATGAGGAGGGAGTTACAATAGTCAAGGTGACAGATAACCAGGGAGTGAATAAGTTGCTTAGTAGTATCCGAGGTTAAGAACGGCCGTATCTTGGAGATGTTGCGGAGGTGAAGTCTACAAGATTTGGACAGCGAGTTTGAGGAAGTGGAGTGACATCCATGCCGATATGTCGCTTACTAGGTTAGTAATGTGAGAAGAGACGGAATATTGGCTGTTTGTGTGTTCACCAAACACATGAACATATGGGGTGTTCACGCCCCACAATGCAATGCACTCTGACGCGCATTGTGACTGGCCAAAGCATTGCACATGACCACAGGTCAGGTGCAATGCTTTGGCCAATCACAGCTCTAGTTCACAGGAAGAACCATGATTAGCCAAAGTCTTGGTGACTTTGGCCAATCATGGCTAAGGGGCTAAGTCCACGCCCCACACTATATAAGGCTTCTTATTCAGCAGCCTTGTGTAGTGTGTTATAGGAGCAGCTTTGTGTAGTATTATAGGAGCAGCCTTGGGTAGTGTTATAGGAGCAGCCTTGTGCACTGTTATAGGAGCAGCCTTGTGCACTGTTATAGGAGCAGCCTTGTGCACTGTTATAGGAGCAGCCTTGTGCACTGTTATAGGAGCAGCCTTGTGCACTGTTATAGGAGCAGCCTTGTGCAGTGTTATAGCAGCAGTCTTGTGCACTGTTATAGGAGCAGCCTTGTGCACTGTTATAGGAGCAGCCTTGTGCACTGTTATAGGAGCAGCCTTGTGCACTGTTATAGGAGAAGCCTTGCTTAGTGTTATAGGAGCAGCCTTGTGCAGTGTTATAGCAGCAGCCTTGTGCAGTGTTATAGTAGCAGCCTTGTGCACTGTTATAGGAGCAGCCTTGTGCACTGTTATAGGAGCAGCCTTGTGCACTGTTATAGGAGCAGCCTTGTGCAGTGTTATAGTAGCAGCCTTGTGCACTGTTATAGGAGCAGCCTTGTGCACTGTTATAGGAGCAGCCTTGTGCACTGTTATAGGAGCAGCCTTGTGCACTGTTATAGGAGAAGCCTTGTGCACTGTTATAGGAGCAGCCTTGTGCACTGTTATAGGAGCAGCCTTGTGCACTGTTATAGGAGAAGCCTTGCGTAGTGTTATAGGAGCAGCCTTGTGCAGTGTTATAGCAGCAGCCTTGTGCAGTGTTATAGTAGCAGCCTTGTGCACTGTTATAGGAGCAGCCTTGTGCACTGTTATAGGAGCAGCCTTGTGTAGTGTTATAGCAGCAGCCTTGTGCACTGTTATAGGAGCAGCCTTGTGCAGTGTTATAGCAGCAGCCTTGTGCACTGTTATAGGAGTGGCCTTGTGCAGTGTAATAGCAGCAGCCTTGTGCACTGTTATAGGAGCCGCCTTGTGCAGTGTTATAGAAGCAGTCTTGTGCACTGTTATAGGAGCAGCTTTGTGCACTGTTATAGGAGCAGCTTTGTGCACTGTTATAGGAGCAGCCTTGTGTAGTGTTATAGGAGTGGCCTTGTGCAGTATGATAGCAGCAGCCTTGTGCACTGTTCTAGGGGAAGCCATGTGCAGTGTTATAGGAGCAGTCTTGTGCACAGGGGCGGACTGACAACTCATGGGGCCCCCCGGTCAATAGGGGATCATGGGGCCCCTGTGTCGTTGCCCAAACTCAAGAAGCCTATGACAAAGGTACCAGGGGCATCTCATGGGGCCCCCTACTGACCCTGTGCCCTCGGGCAGTTCCCTAGTTTCCAAATGGTCAGTCCGCCCCTGCTTGTGCACTGTTATAGGAGAAGCCTTGTGCACTGTTATAGGAGCAGCCTTGTGCACTGTTATAAGAACAAAAAAAATAATAAAACAGTTTATAGCGCACCCAAGCAACAACAATCCCATCCTACACAGAAAAATAAAGTGATATAAATCCCCCTAAAAAATCCCCATCATGTTCAAAAGGCCAAAGAGAGGCAGATGCTAACAGGCAGTGAAGAGAGGGCAAGCAGCCTCTGTGTCCACAGTGAAAAGTGGTGGTCATGGACATGGTGTATCCTCTGCAGGCAGGGCATGCTTGTCCTTTTTTTTTTCCGATGCTGGGCATATTTATTATTGAGCCACAACAATGCAGAAAAGGTGGTGGAGTGGATAACTAATCCATCCTCCTCATCCTCTGTCACCCAGGCTCATACTATTTTGTCTTCCACCACAGCTGCCAAAGCGGCCTATTCCACAGGCTCCTTGTCCACCACAGCTGCTCCTTTCATAGCCCCACCATCATGCATGGAGGAGTCACCAGAATTATTTGATCGTAGTGTCAGTTACATGTTGCTGGAGGATGCGCAGCTATTTGAATGCTCCCATGTTGGTTCCCAGGTTGAGGAAAGGAGTGACGTGAGCCTAGAGCAGGGGTGGGCAAACTTTTTGACTTGAGGGCCGCAATGGGTTCATATATTGGACCCGGGGGCCGGACCAAGAGTAGATGAATGATGTGTATGTGTCATCCATAGTAAGTATAGTAATATTCCCCCATAGTAAGCATAGTAATTAGAGATGAGCGAATCGAACCAGGCGAACCGGAATTCGAGTCGAATTTCAGGAAATATTCGATTCGTGTCGAAACCGAAATTTTGCCTACTTCGGGTGCGCGAATCGAACATTTCCCGATCAGCCGGCAAAAGTGTCCCTGCAGTGAGCTCCGCTATTTCTGACAGTTCTCTGACAGAAGGAACACATGTTTAGCGGTTGAAACATTGTATCTATTAGTTTACATTTAGGATACAGATGTTTCAACTAGAGATGAGCGAAGTATTCAAAAATTCGATTCGACTGATTCGGCGAATTCGTAGAAAAATTTTGATTCGAGTCGAATATATTCGCTGTGAATTTAACTTAAAAAAGGGGTGTTTCTAGGCTTCAGAGAGCCTTTATATTAGTGCAGAACACTGTACCTTTAATTTAAATGCCCTTGGAGTCTGCTGGGGAAGAGAAATAATACTGTCAGGCA